GTTTTACTGTAGTTGGCTGTTGTTTGCTGTAGTTTTACTGTAGTTTTACTGTAGGTGACTGTTGTTTACTGCAATTTTACTCTAGGTAGCTGTTGTTTACTGTAGTTTTACTGTAGGTGACTGTTGTTTACTGTAGTTTTACTCTAGGTAGCTGTTGTTTACTGTAGTTTTACTGTAGTTGGATTGTAGGTGGCTGTTGTTTACTGTAGTTTTACTGTAGGTGGCTGTTGTTTACTGTAGTTTTATTTTAGTTAGCTGTTGTTTACTGTAGTTTTACTCTAGGTAGCTGTTGCTTACTGTAGTTTTACTGTAGTTGTATTGTAGGTGGCTGTTGTTTACTGTAGTTTTATTGTAGGTAGCTGTTGTTTACTGTAGTTTTACTGTAGGTGACTGTTGTTTACTGTAGTTTTACTCTAGGTAGCTGTTGTTTTCTGTAGTTTTACTGTAGTTGTATTGTAGGTGGCTGTTGTTTACTGTAGTTTTACTCTAGGTAGCTGTTGTTTACTGTAGTTTTACTGTAGTTGTATTGTAGGTGGCTGTTGTTTACTGTAGTTTTATTGTAGGTAGCTGTTGTTTACTGTAGTTTTACTGTAGGTAGCTGTTGTTTACTGTGGTTTTACTGTAGGTGGCTGTTTTGTACTGCAATTTTACTCTAGGTAGCTGTTGTTTACTGTAGTTTTACTGTAGGTAGCTGTTCTTTACTGTAGTTTTACTGTAGTTGTATTGTAGGTGGCTGTTTACTGTAGTTTTACTGTAGGTGGCTGTTGTTTACTGTAGTTTTACTGTAGGTAGCTATTGTTTACTGTAGTTTTATTGTAGTTGTATTGTAGGTGGCTGTTGTTTACTGTAGTTTTACTGTAGGTGGCTGTTGTTTACTGTAGTTTTACTGTAGGTGACTGTTGTTTACTGCAATTTTACTCTAGGTAGCTGTTGTTTACTGTAGTTTTACTGTAGTTGTATTGTAGGTGGATGCTGTTTCCTGTAGTTTTACTGTAGATAGCTGTTGTTTACTTTAGTTTTACTGTAGTTGTATTGTAGGTGGTTGTTGTTTACTGTAGTTTTACTGTAGGTGGCTGTTGTTTACTGCAATTTTACTCTAGGTAGCTGTTGTTTACTGTAGTTTTACTGTAGTTGTATTGTAGGTGGATGCTGTTTCCTGTAGTTTTACTG